CCGTCAGAGAGAGAGGTGTAAGAAGTAGAGTGTGAAAATTTTGAGGTTAGGTATGAGGGGATGTTTCTTGAGTGTAAAGTGCTAAATATAATATTGAATTGCCAAAGAAAGTTGTAGAGTCGTTCTCTCTAGAGGTTTTAAAAATAGATGCATCCCTTACTTCTGAGAGGGGTTGTGTGACCAGAGAGTAGAGGAAGAATAGATGAACTTAAATGTTAACCCCATTTGCTTTGTGCCAACAACCTGGGTCTAACATTGTTCAAGGGACACCTCCAGCCACCATTCTCAGGGCCCCCCTTCCTCACTGCCTGCCTTCACTTTACATTTTGAGTGCGCCGAACTCTCAACCTCCGAGTGCAATTAAATAATATTTATTTCTTTGCTTTCATCCCCAAGAGTAAACCTTTGAGCCTTGCAAATCCTGTTTTGGAACCTCCTTACTTGTTTGTAAATATTTTCTTATAATGATTTAATCGGGACAGATGGGAAAAACATTTACATCTGGATTTTCCTTGGTTACCAATGTGTTCTTTGCTATGACACAATGTAAATATGCTTCCTGGGCTGTTCATGGCGGGCCATGTTCTCCTGGTCTGCCTTGTGAGTTTCTGCCCAGAACAAGGAAACCCTTGCTGGGCAGGAAATTGGATCCCCTATGACTCTAGACCTTTCTTGGTGGAGCTTTAATTCTCAGTAGATATTAAATATTCCCTGGACATTTGGATAGCATCCCGCCACATCCCTGTAAACTGCAGAAAAGCTATGCTTCTAGATCCTTTGTTTAATGGGATAAATTGGAAGGGATGGACAGTTACATTATTCCCACTGTCAAAATGTTTTTATTTGGTTTTAATCCTCACTTGAGGATATTTTTTCCATTGATTTTTAGAGAGAGTGGGGGAAAGAGAGAGAAATATCGATGTGAGAGAAACATTGATTGGTTGCCTTCTGCACACCCCGACCAGGGCCCAGGCTGGGGAGGAGCCTGCAACCAAGGTACATGCCCTAGACTGGAATCGAACCCAGCGCCTTTCAGTCCCCAGGCCGATGCTCTATCCACTGAGCCAAACTGGCTAGGGCTTTATTTCAATTTAAATATACCCGGGGACAAGCAGAATTTTTTCTTCATCTGATTTTACCTTTGGCTCTATTATCAGACACATGTATATGGGTGGGATGTGCAGTGTTTCATAGACTGTTTTCTTCAGGTTGTTGATTTTTTTTTCAGCCATAGGTTTCATCCAAGTGAAACTAAATCTGGATTGATTGTCTCCCACAGGTAATACAGGGGACGACAACTTTGTTGCCTCAATGGGACAAATGTGTAAACTTTATCGAAAGTGCCCTCCCTTATGTTGTTGGGAAAATGTTTGTGGATGTGCACTTCCAGGAAGATAAGAAGGAGATGGTAAGTGCTGCTCCCCAACTCAAAGCCAATGGCAGCTAACCAGATCTGACAGGGATATGGCCAACAGGCTGCTATCAGTTTCATATTGACTAAAAACTCAAACACAGAATGTTATCATGAAAATGAAGAAAATTTAGTACTGAGAAAAGTATGAAATCAAGCCACATAGAGTCAGAATTTCCCTTGGAGAAATTAAATGTGTGAAGTCTATGCTTAGGAAAAAAAGGGCCTAGATAATTTTATGATTGGATATTTGAACTGTTGTAATTACAAAAGGTAGGGTTTTTTTTTTCCAGTCAGGACTCTCTGTTTTAGAGATGAGGAAGCCAGAGACCCAGAGATGGAGTGATTTGCAATATACTTAACAATTTTATTTAACAATTTTTAAGTGACTTAAAAATAAGATGCAGTTTTTTTTTTCTTCTCTCCTTATACTGTTTTCTAAAAAATAAAGGGGTGTGACACTTATCTCACAGAAAACACGTTGTGTCTATTTTTTTCATAAACTTAAAAAGAAACCCTTTATTTTGGAAATTTCTAAACATATGAAAGTGGAAAGAACTGTGTAATGAATTTCTAGGTACCTATGGTCCCTGGCTGTTTGTAATTGATGCACTGGCATTAATGGCCCAGCCAAATACATTTAATAAGTGGTGAGGTTTAGTTTCATTCATTCAGTCAAAAAAGATTTATTGAACACCTGTTATATGCTGAATATAGACACTGTTCTAGGCCATGGGATACATAAGAAAACAAAGCAGACCTCACTGAGTTGACATCCAAATGGAAGGGGGGTAGACAATAGAAAACACAATGTATAAATTAGCAGGTGTGTTAGAAGATGACAATAACTCTGGAAAAATGAGAAAGGAGCTAGGGTAAAGAGGAATCAGGCATGCTAGAAAGTATGGGTGTATGGATTGTGTTGTAGGATTAAATAGGATGGTCAAGGAAAACCTCACTATGAAGATGACATTTGTCACAGATGTGGAGGAGGTGAGAAATTAGGTATGGCAACTATCTGGGGGAACAGTGTTCTAGTCAGAAGGAACAGCAAAAGCCATAAGGCAGGGATGTGCCTGGAGAGATATAGGAATAGCAGGGAGGTCCACAAGACTGGAGTGGGAGGAATGAAGGTGAGAGAAATAGACTCTGAGGTCAGAGCAGTAATAGGGATGGTGGCATTTTGTAAGGCCTGTAGGTCATTGTAAGAATGTTGGCTCTACCCTGAGTGAAGTGGAGATGGAATGCAGGCTTTTAAGCAGAGGCCTGATGTCACCTGACTTATGTTGAGAGGATCACCCTGGCGGTTTTGTTCAGAAGAGACTATAGGGCAGTGATGGCGAACCTATGACACGTGTGTCAGAGGTGACACGTGAACTCATTTTTTTTGGTTGATTTTTCTTTGTTAAATGGAATTTAAATATATAAAATAATTATCAAAAATACAAATCTTTGTTTTACTATGGTTGCAAAGATCAAAAAATTTCTATATGTGACACAACACCAGAGTTAAGTTAGGGTTTTTCAAAATGCTGACACGCCGAGCTCAAAAGGTTCGCCATCACTGCTATAGGGCATCAAGGTTAGAAGCAGGGAGGAGTTAGGAGACTGCTGGAGGCACTAGGCCAGAGATGAAAGTGGCTTGAACTAGGTGGTAGCAGTAGGAGTGTGAGAAGGGGGTGGATTCTGAATATATTCAGAAGTGTAGAGTTGATTGCTGACAGATTGGATGAGGGATCTGAGAGTAAGAGCTTTGAGTCTGATTAAGTGGAAGTATGGAGTTGTTAATTGATAAGGGGAATACTGTGGGAAGGCCAGGTTTGGAAGAGGAGATCAGGAGTTTAGTTTTGGCCCTGTCAAATTTGAGATTTATTAGACTTCCAAGTGAAGATGTCAAGGAGGCAGAAGGGTATATACATTTTGAGTTTAGGACAGTATTTGAAGGTTGGTGGGGAGAGGAGAAGGTGTGAAATAGTTGTCCAGGGGAGTGGGAGAATGAGAAAACTGAGGAAATGCAGTATGGCTGCCTGGAGGCAGTAAAGGTCAAGGTGAGTTTGAAGGTCATACATTTAAAGAGATTCCTTACCTTGGCAGTGTGTTCTTGTTCATCTGTTTCAGCTGCATTGGAGGAAGCTGTGTATTGTTTTAATATATTTTTTTATTGATTTTAGAGAGGAAGGGAGAGGGAGAGAGAGATAGAAACATCAATGACGAGAGAGAATCACTGATTGGCTGCCTCCTGCACGCCCCATACTGGGGATTGAGCCCGCAACCTGGGCATGTGCTCTTGACTGGAATTGAACCTGGGACCCTTCAGTCCTCAAGCCGACGCTCTATCCACTGAACCAAACAGGCTAGGGCTGTGAAGAAATATTTATTACAAATGGCATGAAGCAAAATATCTAGGCAAGATTAACTAATGTAAGGGAGGAAAAAATGATTTTCCCTCTATCCTTTTAGGTTCTTGGCTAAGATCTCCCATAATCAAAGACCAGTTAATAGGAGAAAAATAAACAGAAGTTTAGTAGCATGTACACCTCTTGTATACTAGTACATGGGAGAGACCCAGAAATATTAAGTCCCGGAAATAGCCCAAAGCACCACCTTAAATACCATCCCCAACTAAAGACAAAAGATGTTGGAGTGGGAGGGGCAGTTATGGGAGGCGACCAGGAAAAGCACAGTAAAGGAAGGTAAGGTTGTTGTGCCTTCTCTAGTGATAAGGGTTTCTGGAGACTTAGTCATCCTTTTCTTCCTGGTACACAGAGAAGGACACCCTTATAATGGAGGTTTTTGTTGCAGATGTTAATTTCTCTCACAAAAAAGGTAACTTCTCTCTTTTTAGAGCTTCTCTTATGTCTGGGGCCTCTCAAAACTAATCAGCCCCAAATAATCACTCTGACAAAGAGGCATATTTTGGGGTGGTATATTTCACTCCCCTTCCTTAATAACAGTACATTATAGTCAACCATATACAAATATATGAGCAGCTTGGATGCAGGTTGAATTTAAAGGCAAACAGCAGCTTGAATTTAGAGGCAAAGAGAAAAGAAAGTCTGTTACGCTATTTCACATGGTTGGTATTATGGGCTGCTACATGATAATACCAACTGGTTGGTATTATGTGTTGATATGTAATGCATAACTATGTATTATGTGTTGAAGTTCGTTTTGGAATGCCATAAATCTAAATACATTTACCTGGATTTTTGATGTCTTTTGATACTTTGGAGAATTAAGCCATGTTTGAGATTTTATATTTGAACTTACAAGTCCTCTTCTTGCAAATAATTCCACTGAAGAATTAATGTCTTATTTCAAAATACTCAATATTCCCATTGTGTGCTTTCTTTCACTCCTTGGTTGGAGTAAATGGGTTGAAATTTATCAGATAATCACAGTGGTAACATAACCTCTTGGAAGGATATAAAAACAATTAAGGGACAATGGGGGTGTTTTTTTATATATAGTGGGACTTTTTTGGCAGTAGAAGAATTTTAAGTAATATGAAAGGTATGTGGATTAATTTGTTTTTCTCAGTTTTGGTGTGAAAGTTCCATTTTCATGTGTTAGAGTGTGACATTCTAAAACAAAGTAGATTTTGGCATTCCTAACCCCCCCCCTCTTATTTTGATGTACATGGCCATGGAGGTAGTGTGATAGTTAACATAAATACTCATCTATTATGCATAAATTTATTTGTATCCCTTACGCTGAAGCTGTTTGCCTCAGGGAAAACTTAAATTGGAAACTTACATGAGAAATATCTGGCTTTTTATACCCTGCTACAGGGCTCCCATCCAAGAACTACCTGGAAGTACTGATTTATTTACATGAAAAATATTTTTTATTATTAGCTACAGCCCAAAGGAAAACAGAAAGATCCCCAATGGGACAAATTCCACAGACTCTAACTTAGAAGGAAGGCTGCCTTTGTTTTATTTACAAAAATCTGTTGTTAAGCAAATGAACACAGTCAGAAGGTTAAACTTCAGGTACTTCTCGAACTCTGATTTGTACAGGAATCACAGGAGGATCTCATTGCATTTAACAAGGATCTTTTTAACTTGGGTCTGGGGTAAGACCCAAGAATTTGCATCACAAGCTCCCAAGTGACGCTGATGTTGCAATCCTAGGGATCATACTTGGAGTAGCAAGGCTTTCACATCATTCATTTGCAGTTAACCACTAAAAAACCCTGTCCTGGTGATTCATGTGAGCAGGGCAGGCTGCTGAGTTGGACAGCAGTACTTCATTTATGAAAGTCCATTGCATTAATACAAGGAACCTCTTCAGTTTTCAGATCATTGAAACTTTTCCCTGGTTCAAATTGGTTTAAATGGACTGTCCCAAACCCTGTGTGAGGGCCTCCAGGCCCCCACACCCCCAAATATCTAGTTTTCCTTTGAAAACTGGTACCTAGGTTTCTCCAAGGGACTTCCTGTTTCTCAGTATTTCTGTTTCTATAGCCTCTTAATGACAGGGTTGCTTCTGGTTGGCACCCTTTATCATATAGTTTGGGAGAGAGCATTTCAACAAGTAATTAATATAAAAGTTATTAGTGTTATTGTTTATATACTTCATTTCATACTAAGTCTTTGAAACCCCATATGTATTTTATACTTGTAGCACATCTCAGTTTGGATTAGCCACATTTCAATTGCCATGTATGGCTGTTATATTGGACATGTAGTTACCATATTGAACAGTGACCATCTAAAGAATTGTAGAGGGATCTTGTGAGTTCAGTGTAGCAGAGCTCAGTCCCTGGGTGAGCAGGTGCTAGTAGCCAGGACTGGGAAGGTGAGGTCCTTGGTTCCTGACCTGCTAGGTTTCATGGAGGACTCTAACATCATCAGAGAAGGACTCAAACAATGCCGGGATTCAAGGCCTGGGAATAGGAGTGGGAGCCAAGCTGCTACTTGATGAGGATGTTTCAGGTTCTCTGGCATACCAGCTTAGAGGAGGAGAGGAATTCCAGACCCTACTCTGATGTA